GTTTTAGTTTACGCTAGCCTAAGAAATTGATATAGTCATTCAAACCCAAGATGGAGCAGGTAAGAATACTGGTCGATTTGAGTAGTACCGATTTCTTTTGTAATCTTGGCATCTTGAGCTCTTCAGTGAAACTTTGCAGCTCTATCTACCGTAGGGATTGCTGAAAGATATATGCGGAAGGAGAGTTGAGCACGATGATCTCCTCATATATTAAGAAAGGCTTATCCTTATGTCCCCAGGCTAGGGAGAAACATTCGTTCAAGAATTGAAAAGTCTCTAAGACCGTTAATCGAAGATCACCTTTGCATCCGTTCCGGGTTTGTTTAGGAGCGTCGATTGTGTTTTTTATTCTCGCCGAGCCGTTTGATAAAATTCGCAACTGGATGATTTCGTGCAACCATATACCGCGGATCAGGTATTGTAAAGTGCAACGTGCGGAGTTAGACTTCAAGCGCAGGAATTGCTCGCTGAGCACGTTAAGTACAATATCACTAGAAAACGAAAAACTGGGAGCTTCATTGGTATGCACCGTAGAGAAGATGTGACGGGATAAGCACTGTATTTCTATCATACAATCATAGTATAATTCTAAGACATACAATGTTGCACAATTGTACGAATCTCCATTGCACACTGAGCAATTACGAATATTAGTAAGCTCTGAAGTATAAGTATTGTTTGTTTAAAGGATCTTGGTACTCCATTTACGGGGATCCGTGACACACGTGGAGTATTGCATCGCGTCAGAGATAACCTTTATCGTGATACACAGTAATTTATTACTGTAAACAGAAATAAATCTGCATATATATCATTCCTGGTTTAGCAGGGCTGGCAACATTCTATATTTTCTAACCCTCGACTCCGCGCCTTAAAGGAGTACCAACCCGACTCCTGCGCGTTTGTTACCGCAAACCCTATGAATCAATGCTTCTTCCGTGCAAAATGCACAGCCCTCTGTCGCAGTGACCAACTCGGACAGTAAGGCAGCTTATTCTACTCACCAAGCCGATTAAGGCAAATACGAAATCGCTTTGGATGAGGGCTTTAAACGGCCATAGACTCTGCGCTGCTCCGGTCGGAGCGATTGCGCACGCACAAGATGGCTGACTCGCTTTCAGAAAAAAACGGTGATGGTCATCATAATCGTAAGGATTCTCCATTGCAGCACTAACACCTATTTGACTATCAAAGGATACCTGGGAGCTGCATTTACTAAGATACATAATTTTTGATCTCAAAGGGTCCGTTAGGCCCGGTAAGTGTAGGTTCGTAAGCGTACCGTATATAATGAACATTAACGTAGATATGGAGGGAGTGTGCAATTTGATAACCGCAAATGCAGCTTATATGGGATAACCAAGTATTTATGTGTCCGTTCTCTGTTGGTCAAGAAGGACGAAGGATCAAGATTCTTCCAGGACCCCGCGATGAAGATTTGATTCTTGGTTGACCGGTTGCCGCTGAAAAACACTGATTTTTAGTAGGCTTCGAGATCAACGAAAGGTACTACTTCTCTGAGAAAGTTAAAGATGGCAGGTCAAGGTAGTTAGAACTAAAATCTCAATTTCTGGTTGTGAGGACAATAAACGCTCTGATAGTTTAACAATTACATTCAACGCGTAACTTGCTAAAAAGCTAAATTACTACGAAAAATACTGAAGATACCAAATGCAGATACCATTATCGTGGGTCAAGCCGCAAGTCACAAGCCCGACTATTAAAGGTTTGTATAGCTCTTGAGAAATTTGTGGGAATTGATCCTTTAAACGCTGTGTACGTGTAGATCTGTGTTCGTGATACGATCTCATCATAATTTTACGCCCTGAGCCATATTGTGACTGAGAGTCGTAACGGTTGGGTGTCAAGCTTTCCTCGCAAAAGTTTAACATATCGCATCTGACACCTGTGCTAAGAAAAATATGCTTTTTGGCGCGAGTATGAACCTGCAGTAGCCTCGGTGCAGGATATGAGATTGTCCAATATGGTTAGCAGTGATTTTGCTAAGTGCCAAGAACAGCGATCGGATGTCAAAAGTGACAGAGCGTTGACCTCCAGATGTCGTAGAAGTAAGCGACCGATCGTGCTCTCCAGAATATATCGGCAACGAAGTTGTCACGCACTTTGGTCAGCGAAACCTTTGTCCTGTTGAGTCAGATTTATCAGGCGCACATTGGATGGGTCTGCGGGCTCTACTTAAATGAAAATAACCAATAGCCTTCTGAATAACTACATCGTTTTCTAAACGTGGGTCGCAGCTGTAATTTTGGTGCCTTATAACTTCCATTTGGTGGAATAGTTTAGTGCGACTACTTGTCGTGATCACCAGATTCGAAAAATAGAAGCAGCTTAGTTCTGCGGTTTTCACCACAAAATCTTACAGATTCTGGCGGCCCTAGATTGCGAGTGAAAGGGCAGAGCCTTGATGTCTTTAATAGTGACCTATCTTTATAGCGGTATGACAATACATCTGAGTCAGCACCATAGATGACAAGCCCACTTTGCAGCGAAATAATCCAAACAGAATTGCTGTGAAGATTGCATAGGGGAAACTTGATCTCTAGGAGTCTACATTAACAAACAAACTGAGGTTTAATCCATCCGCTACCAATTAGATCGGAATCGAGAGCCTCTTAGGCAGTTAAACTTAATTTTTGCTCTGTTACTTCAATACTAGATATGCTCAGAGTTAATATATCTTTTCAAATACTAAATTAAACAATTTGATTTTCTTCAACTAAACTGTGTTTTTTATTGACAAGCAGCCAGCAGCCCACGTGTGTTCCGGGCTCCTTTGTCTCAAAGTTCCGTGTACGTTCTATAATAAAAATAATAATATATATATGTACCGTATTGTCTTTCTAATGTTTGTATTAAAATGCTTAATTGAAAGTACACCAAAATTCAGTACTTCCTCTCTTATACGCTCTCTCAATATGATGTCGTACACACTGATGCTAACACATATTTGTCTGCTTGAAACACTGCGCAAAAGTGATCCGGTCTACGAGCAGCTACACCGCCTCAAGTTCCATTTCGCTTTCTGCGCCTTACAGTACCTACTCGTCATAGTGTAGTTGTAAAGTCATCCCCGAGGCACCAACCAAGAAGGCTTGACAAGTCCACTAAAATTGTAATCCACGTGAGCGACGCGCTTCGGATAATTATCGGTGAGAATGCGATGAGAACAGTCCCAAGAGTTAAGGCTTCCACCGTTACTCGATAATACACCACCTAGTCGTTCCTGAAGGTGGAGACGCTCACTACGCTCAATCTGCTAGCTGAACATGTATCGATTTCCGTGC